ACCACCAATTCTGTCAGCTAAAGAATCAGCACCAGGAGCAGCAGGAGCAGGACCTGAAGGAGGAGCGGGAGGAGGAGGAGCACCAGGAGCAGAAGGAAAACCGGCAGGGGGATCTGAGGGAGCAACAGCAGGACCAGAAGAAGCAGGAGAAATGCCACCGTTGCCTTGACCGCCAGCAGAAGGTCCAGCAGAACCACCTCCTCCACCGCCTCCAGAACCAGAACCTCCAGTAGAAGTTCCACTGCCACCAGAAGCCTCGGCAGCGCCAGCAGAACCAGAACCAGAAGCACCAGCAGAGCCAGGAACAGGTCCACCAGAAGCACCAGTAGCACCACCAGAACCATCACCAGCAGAGGCACCAGCGTCGGAAGTCTTACTTGAATTCGAATTGTTCTTTGGTGCGAGAGCATCACCTTTTCCAGCCGAGGCTTCGACGGCAGTAATGGGCAGTACCGACCGCAAAGGCACCGTAATCGCAGTTTTATTGCATCCGTCAGGCATGTGGGATCCATTCTCACCCAACACTCCCGACGCCATGCAGCCACCCAGTGCGTTGGTGTCAACGTCCCTCGCATAAACACCGCCGGCAACGCACCACAGCACGCAGAGGGCACACACCAGCAGCACACGGCCGGTCATCATCATCGCCATCACTCCTGTCACTTGCGTGCAGCCTTCAGCACAAACTAACTCCCCGTCAACGCAAAAAGCAAAAAGAGAGACAAGTCACACAACCACGCACCGTCCCATCCAGCAATGAGAGTCACACACCACAACAACAACAATTAGGTGGGCGCGGCTCAACAACAATCAAAAAAAAGAGGGGCGCTCCTCGCCCGTGCACCGTTCCTCACACTCCCACAGTCACCACTACTGTTATTCCCTCTCTCCTCAGTCCCTCACAGGCACGCCACGCTCACTCCAACACGCGCCCCTCCCAGCACAGGCAGTCCGTCATGCGCTCCCGCTGCGCCGCAACGTCGTGCCGCCCCTCCTCCCCAATCATGAGCGCAACGCCCAACGCGTACTGGCGCACGTGCTCCATGCGCCGCAACCACACACCAGTCAGGTTGGCCGTCATGCACTGCATCTTGTTGTCCTCCTTGTACATGAAGCAGACCCTCACATTCTCTCAATCCACGGCCTGGGGACTGCGAGAGGCGGCCGAGTAGTGCCACGTGTCTGAAGATCCAAATGTACGGAAACAACGGCCACCCTCACTCCCGCACAAATCTCCACTCCCTTCACTGTCCCGCACACAAGGGCGGTGTCATGTGGAAGAGAAGCCCGCTGCACAGCACATACACAAGAAGACACACAATAGCCGTGCCATCGACGTCGCACCGCAGGATAGAGCCATGCGAACAGCAAACACGCGGCCTCAAAGAGAGGGACGGGCACATACAAGTGTATACGGCGGTCATTCACTTCTCTCTTCCCCGGCGGATTGGCGTCCGACACTCACAGTGAGGCATGACGCAAACCCTCCATGTGAACTCAGCAGGTCGCCGCCCAGTCACCCTCCTGCCATCGCAAAGGGGAGCACAAATAATCGTCGTCGCGGACCATCGGTGCCTCCAGCAGGAAAAAAGATAAAAAAAGGGGACGAGGGGATGTCAACAGCACAGCCAACAGAGGGACACTCAACGAGACACTGTGAAAGGCACTGACGGTAAACACGGCACAAACAAAAAACAAACCACAGGTATTTGCAAAATAAATAAATAAATAAATAAATTTGTGAGTCCACCAGAACTCACAGAATAAAAAACTTCTCCAGGCAGGACTTTTATTTCATGTGCCTAGAAGCAAATGACAACCGGGTGCATACATATTGCCCGCACAAGAAACGGAAAGTAAGAAGAAAAAAGATCGTACTCTTCCACCAGCCCACACAACATCCCTCACATTTCATGCGGCATCCGGCCTGTCTCTCCAATCCTCCTTTCGTGCAGTCCGTGGGACGCGCAGCCGAAGGGCCGGCACCGCGTGTGGGCAAAAACAAAAGCAAACAAGAGCGGGAAACACGTCGCTCATTACAGTGTGCAGCAGCCGAACATTACGCAAAGAAAAAACAACAGTACTTACTGCTCCAGCTGAACTGCATTAAAAAGACATTTAAAAGTAAAAAAATTAAAGAAATAAAAGATAAGTGAAAAAGGATGGGCAGTGCGGCACGTATTCTCCGTGAGGCGTCGCAGATCCGCACTCCGTGGCTCAGAAAGCTGCCACCACCCAAATACAACCCCAGTAGAAGCAGCAACGCACAAGACACGCACACACGCACGGTGTTGTTAGCGCCTAAATCACGCAGTGTCAATTCCACGTCGTTGGGAGAGGCGAGGCGGTCGTCGGGACTCACGCCGCTCCACACCCTGCGAGGTGACTATTTGTAATGGGAATTCGTGTCCAGGGCGTGGTGCTCATTCATTTCTCTTCGGTAATATTCCCAGCAATGTGCTCCCTGACGCTGTCAAATACTCGAATCTTCTCGGGTGGTGTCGGAGCCGCTTCACTCGTCGGAGCGGGGGACGCTGTCCTTGGGTGCACGCATCGCAGTGGAGTTCAGTGGGCGGCTGTACAGAAAGACGTCATTCACCGTCACAGGGGATTAATGCCCACAGCACGCGCCAAAGCAAAACCTCAGGACCTCAGGTGGCTTCTGGCATGTTAACGGCACCTCTTCCTATTCCGCCAGCAACAGACCGTCAACGTGCACAGAGGCCTTGTTGCCTTGCAGCATAAGTACCGCCTGGTACTCTTTCTTCGGCTCCCAAGTGCTCCTCCGTGTTGTTTTCGTCCCTTCGAACGCCGTCTCCCGATTCTTATTGTGGCCGCACGACAGTCCCATGGTACGATTGGACGCAGTGTTCGCCAGCACCGCAGTCAGTGGAGGAGTGTTCCCACTCGGGGCCTCTTCGATGGTCACCGATGCCACAAGTGTGAAGTGGTGGCTCAAGAATACATGACGCACGTTATCATCCCGAGTGTTCACGGGCCATATTGCCCTGGACTCAAGTCCCGTGAATCGGAATCCATCGCAGTCCTTCACTGCACTTGTCACCGTCGCATGCAGGCAACGGTACTCGTCGATCCGCGTGCCATCACTGGCCGCATCGGACAAAACTGCCACCAGACCCGCCGTGGGTATTGACACGCTGGAGAAGAAGGCGTCCTTTTGCACCCCAGCACTGAGGACAGACTTGATTGCACTCACTTCCTCCGTCAGGCGGGAAAGTGAAATGGCACGGCCCTCACCGTTGCCCCTCCGTTGTAAAAGATGCAAATCCCCGTCCGAGTGCAGCAGGTTGCTGGTGAACAACCAATTCATACCATCCCTCATGGCAACCGGCCCAACACAAAACGAGCGGTTGTTGGCCGTGACCCAAACGTAAAGCGGATTGGCCCTATTCTCCACCGAGGCGTGCACTCTCTGAGTGCACAGCATGACCTTCCTTCCCTCAATGGCCGCAGTGATGGGGGCATCCACACGCAGGCTTTCTTTCTGAGAGGCTCCCGATCCTGAGTTGACCCACACGCCTAAAAGCTTCCCGATGGCCTCCGTCCACGCTGTCCCCATGTCACGCGACTCGTACACCCTCCGGCCATTCTCGCAGTCAACAATCATGGGAAGTGATCCCTCCCACTCGCTGACGCGGGGTCAAGACATTCCGCAGGGGACATACCCTCAGAGAGCGCCCAGTTACTGCCGTTGTCCGTCGAGTAAATGGTCATGGAGCAAACGTATTCTGCCTCATTCACCGCCATCAGAGGAAACAGGAAGGTGCCATCCTCCATCACAACACCTGCGCCACCAGAAGCAATGAACTCCGTCCGTTCACCTTCGTGAGAAGCAGAAGAGATCAGCTTCGAGAGTGTTTGGGGCCGCCCCATTCGATCCGTCCACTCCGCTTGCCACCCGTGGGATTCGTGACATCGCCCACAACCAGTTGCAGCTCCAAGCCGCCCTCTCTCCAACACCCACCTTCGTAGGACACATCCGAGCCTCCCGCAAGAAGAAACGCTCCGTGGCCCTTCGTGACTGTTGTGGAGTGGTGCACAACACCCAGACCCTCCTTTCCCTCCGCTGCACCAAGCACAGTGTGTGCCCTCCGTGTATCTTTTATTGGCCTCACCAACAAGAGTGGAACAATGCCACGCAGAGTCAATGCACCCCGCAACAACATCGGAAGAAAAGGGCTTAGTTAATTGACCACCTTGATATTCGGCATCCATTTGACCCTCGGCAAAAGCAGCCACCACTCCACCAGCACTGACGAGAAAGGGTAAAACAAATGAATCCCTCGTCGTACCTGGAACAACCTCATCCCTCGGCTGCAACACCTTCGTCTGTGGAAAAAATAGATCGACCCTCTCCGGCTCCTGAACACTTCTTAAATCATTCTTGCCATCATTCTCCTTTGCAGGCGTGGCTCCACAAGTACCGCAACGCAACGTCACAAAAAGAAAAAAGGCAACACCGCGGAAGTAAACACACGCCGGGACATGTTGGGCCTCTGCGGCTCACTCTCTCCTCCTTCCCTCCTCCTTCCGCTGGATCCGGTCACGCGGCGACGGTTGTGTGTGCGGGGTGCCTTGACTGCCGCAACACGTGAGAGCATATAAATATGTGTTTGTGTGTGTGCTGTTGTTGGTTCTTCAGTGCCTTCGAACTTCACTGTATCGATTGGCGTTTGTTTTCCTTCCCAGTTTGAGTGTGTTTGCGCGCAGGAAATCAAATTAAAATTTAAAAAGCACCAAAACAGAGCGTGGCAGAAGAAAGGGTGGCGCCGCCATCCACAGTGTAACACACCAGCGTCGTCGTAACCGCTACAGTAATTACTCTCCCCGTCAACAACGGCTCAAGCACTGTGAGGCCGCAGGCAGAAGCAGAGACACTGACGTTTGCGCACGGGCCAATACACCCTCCGGCAAACAGCACCAACCAACAGACAGCCAGCAGAAAGTAAGTGCAAGAAAAATCCCAAGTGCTGCGGGATCCTTGCAAGCAGCGCTCCCTCACTGCAGGGCCTCTATTAAAGCGTTCCTCGCCGCAACATCCCCGCAACCCGCTCGGCGTGTCGGTGGATTTTCCCGTTCACCGGAACAAAAACAGCGGGATGCTCCGGCAGGGATCGAAGACACACAGAGCGCACCGTCGACGCGACCAACGGGCGCAGGCTCTCGTGAAGTGAGATCCCACAACCGTGATCCCTCCATTGACTCTCCTGGAAGTGGAGGAGGCATGAAATGTCCTCTTCTCTACAGTAGTCCCGAAACGCAGAAAAATTCCGCAGGACATCCCGCGCAGCCACGGCCTCCTCAGCAGCCCGACAGTCCACGCCGTCGCACCGCTCCTCAAGAGGTCGCCAGGCCCGGTAAAGCAAGCAAAAGGAGAGCAGCAATTCGGTCAGGGCGTTCAGCAAAATAAGGCACAGCAGTCGGGTAGGCGCGGCCCATCCACGTCCTCCCCCTCAACCGACCCACCACACATTCGGATCACACACCCAAAAAGAGCAGTGGCGCCCAAAAAAATAACACGGACACTAACGCCTCGTGCTCTCCTCAATGTAGCTTCACGGCACATCCGAGGCATCACAAGAAGGGACAAATACTTACATTCCGTCGGCATAAGCACGGGAATAAAGCGC